CCCCCAGTCTGTTTCATTACCGATACACCTCCCATCCTGGCTATATTCCCCCCATCCTGGCTATGTTCCCCCAGTCTGTTTCATTACCGATATACCTCCCATCCTGGCTATGTTCCCCCAGTCTGTCTCAGAATGTGACCCAAATGGCACCCTATTCCATATATAGAGACCCATGTCTCTGGTCAAATGTAGTGCACTATGTAAGGAATAGGGTACCATTTGGAATGCAGAGCCAGTCTCAGCCAGTCGGGGAGGAGTTGTCGTTGTGTGGAGCTAAAGCCCAATGGAGCCCGCCTGGCACACCGCTCCGCTCCTCCTCGCCTCTCGCTGTAAGGTCTTGTGTAATCCTGTGCAACAACAGGTGCCAAGCGTCTCTTTTACCCCGGGCACCGGCTCACTCACAGACCTTTCCCTCGCCCCCATCTGCTGCGATCGTGGAACGCCGCCTCCCACAGGCGCCAGCAGGGCTGCCAGTACAGGGTTTCCAAAAAGCAGCAGGAGCAAGCCACCCCCCCACAGGCCCAAAAACCCCACGACCCTCAAACCGCAACCCACCCGACCCAGCGACTACCAGCAACCCGCCAACACGCCGGGACTCCTGCCCTCCCCATCGCTGCCCGAACGGAAAAACCCCGGGGCCCCACTGCCCATCTACGCCCTTCCACCCTCAGTCACGCTGCACAGCCGCGAGCAGCTCCTACCCGGCCCAGCCCATCCACTCAGCCACAGACCCGCCCACCCGAAATCGCCAGAAGCCTCCTCATATCTACGGAGCCACATACCGGACTTAACGCTGCCCTCCCGCCCCCTCTCTCTTCCCCATCTCTCACCCTCCCTTCCTCCTTTTCCCCATCTCCCCTCTCTCTCCAAATGAGCAGGAGGGAGGAAACCCAATTCTTTCCTGTCCCTCCACACTTACACCCTTCTCTAATTTTCTTTCCCTAGTCGGGAACAATCCTCTCTTTAAGGCCCTATCTTGGGGATGAGCCCCTAAATAAGCTTGTAAATTCACATTTGTTCATTTCTTGTATTCTTTCTTACATCCCCCCCCAACTCTTTCTTCCCCTCCCCTTTCCCTTGTTTTTTTTTTCCGGCCTCCCCCCAAAAATGAAAATTTTTTTGACCAAAAGGGGAAAAAAATTTTTAAAGGGAAAAAGGGGGGGAAAAAAAAAGGAAAAAACATAAGTAATTTTCCCTCCCCCTCCTCCCCTCCTCCCTCCCCTCCCCCCCCCCTTTTCTCCCCTCCCCTCCCGCAGGTTTCCACGCGTCCTTCTGCCCTCAGCCCGAGAGTTCGAAAAGGAGAGCGCCCCGGACTCGCCTGCCCTCATGCTCGCCTTCGCCCGTCCATCAGCCCCTCGCGCTGACCGCACGCTCCTGCGACGCCCGCTCCGGATCATACCCATTAGGCCTCCGCTCCATGCGCGGCCGAGATCCCAACCTTGCTCTTCCTCATCTCCCCCCGCTTGCGAAGTCCCACCCGACATCGCCCACCCATCTCTCCTTGATCTCCTCTCCATCCGCTCTCTCCCTCATTTATCACCGTCCCGTCTCGCCTAGCAGTACCCACTCGCATTGAGCCCACCTCGAAGTCCTCATTCCGCCTTCTCATCCTTTCCCTCCTTCTCGTCTTCCCTCATCTCTCCTCCCTTCTCTCCTTCCCTCATCTCTCCCCTCCCTTCTCTCATTCCTCCCCTCTTGTCTTCCCCTCCAAATGAAGACAGGAGTAGGGAGGAAACAGAAGGATGTGTTTTCTCTTGTTACCAGGCCTCCCCACACCAAACACACTGTTACTGCATCAACATTTTAATTGTCTTCTTTACCATAAAGTCTGGGAACACAATTCAATCCTCATTCTTTAAGATGGGCCTAATTAATCATTGTGGGGAAATGAAAGACTCCCTGAAATAATAAAGCGTTGTAAAAGATTTCACATTATGGATATGCTAATTGTACTGAATTGATAATAGATTTTTATATATTATGTTTAACTTGAATCCACTGAGTATTCTGAGAATAGGAGCAGCGAGTGTCTGAACACTGGCAAGACTGGCAGTGTTCCTCACAGCATATGGTCATAATAGTTAGTAAACGCTTCTCACTTAAGATGGTGTGCGTTCACAGCTGTCATTAGCCCACACACTCACACTCACTCACTCACTCACTCACTCACTCACTCACTCACTCACTCACTCACTCACTCACTCACTCACCCACTCACCCACTCACCCACTCTCTCACACACACACACACACACACACTCACACAGACAGACAGACAGACAGACAGACACTCCGCTCCCCAATCCTCAGTAGTCCTCCAAGCTCATTCCCAACACACAGCCTGCCGAGCAGACTGACACCACTAACTGTGGTGCAGGGAATAGAACATATCTAATACATATTCAGTGTACTGACCTTTACTGTTGTGGAAAAGCATACTACTACAAATATTTAAAAATAAAAAAGTATGCTACAAAAATTGGTTACAACTCACACGAACACACAATACAACAATGTTCTTTATTCCGTTGTATTTCTCTGTCTCGATGATGGCTTCCTATATAGCCCATGTTGTTGTGTTGAGATGTTTCGATGCTAGAAGGAGAGAGACAGCCGCCCTCTCACCTGAATACCATGTTCAATATCATTTGGTAGGCCTAGTTTTCCTTTTTACACATATACCGTTGGGAAATAACTCACTTTTTCTTGGAAACAGTTTTAAAATTTGGTTGTTTCTTTGTGAAATGCCTTTAGTGCCACACGGTAGACCTGTGTGGGTGGGCAATGGGTTTACATTTCAGTTTAAATGATGGTTGTATTATCTGCTGTGTTAAACCAGAAGCTGTTCTGTTCTAGCACTACATATTAAAGGTCTCTTTCTGTTCTAGCACTACATATTAAAGGTCTCTTTCTGTTCTAGCACTACATATTAAAGGTCTCTTTCTGTTCTAGCACTACATATTAAAGGTCTCTTTCTGTTCTAGCACTACATATTAAAGGTCTCTGTGTGTGTGAATGGTTAACATATCAGTTATCTGTCCTGTCTGTCCCAGTATGGTTAACATATCAGTTATCTGTCCTGTCTATCTCAGTATGGTTAACATATCAGTTATCTGTCCTGTCTGTCCCAGTATAGTTAACCTATCAGTTATCTGTCCTGTCTATCTCAGTATGGTTAACATATCTGTCCTGTCTGTCCCAGTATAGTTAACATATCAGTTATCTGTCCTGTCTATCTCAGTATGGTTAACATATCAGTTATCTGTCCTGTCTGTCCCAGAATGGTTAACATATCAGTTATCTGTCCTGTCTATCTCAGTATGGTTAACATATCAGTTATCTGTCCTGTCTGTCCCAGAATGGTTAACATATCAGTTATCTGTCCTGTCTATCTCAGTATGGTTAACATATCAGTTATCTGTCCTGTCTATCTCAGTATGGTTAACATATCAGTTATCTGTCCTGTCTATCTCAGTATGGTTAACATATCAGTTATCTGTCCTGTCTGTCCCAGTATGGTTAACATATCAGTTATCTGTCCTGTCTGTCCCAGTATGGTTAACATATCAGTTATCTGTCCTGTCTATCTCAGTATGGTTAACATATCAGTTATCTGTCCTGTCTGTCCCAGTATGGTTAACATATCAGTTATCTGTCCTGTCTGTCCCAGAATGGTTAACATATCAGTTATCTGTCCTGTCTATCTCAGTATGGTTAACATATCAGTTATCTGTCCTGTCCTGTCTATCTCAGTATGGTTAACATATCAGTTATCTGTCCTGTCTATCTCAGTATGGTTAACATATCAGTTATCTGTCCTGTCCTGTCTATCTCAGTATGGTTAACATATCAGTTATCTGTCCTGTCTGTCCCAGAATGGTTAACATATCAGTTATCTGTCCTGTCTATCTCAGTATGGTTAACATATCAGTTATCTGTCCTGTCTGTCCCAGTATAGTTAACATATCAGTTATCTGTCCTGTCTGTCCCAGAATGGTTAACATATCAGTTATCTGTCCTGTCTTGTCTATCTCAGTATGGTTAACATATCAGTTATCTGTCCTGTCTTGTCTATCTCAGTATGGTTAACATATCAGTTATCTGGCCTGTCTGTCCCAGAATGGTTAACATATCAGTTATCTGTCCTGTCTGTCCCAGAATGGTTAACATATCAGTTATCTGTACTGTCCTGTCTATCTCAGTATGGTTAACATATCAGTTATCTGTCCTGTCCTGTCTATCTCAGTATGGTTAACATATCAGTTATCTGTCCTGTCCTGTCTATCTCAGTATGGTTAACATATCAGTTATCTGTCCTGTCTATCTCAGTATGGTTAACATATCAGTTATCTGTCCTGTCTGTCCCAGTATGGTTAACATATCAGTTATCTGTCCTGTCTGTCCCAGTATGGTTAACATATCAGTTATCTGTCCTGTCTGTCCCAGTATGGTTAACATATCAGTTATCTGTCCTGTCTGTCTCAGTATGGTTAACATATCAGTTATCTGTCCTGTCTGTCCCAGTATGGTTAACATATCAGTTATCTGTCCTGTCTATCTCAGTATGGTTAACATATCAGTTATCTGTCCTGTCTATCTCAGTATGGTTAACATATCAGTTATCTGTCCTGTCTATCTCAGTATGGTTAACATATCAGTTATCTGTCCTGTCTGTCCCAGTATGGTTAACATATCAGTTATCTGTCCTGTCCTGTCTATCTCAGTATAGTTAATGTGTCAGATGTCTGTCCTGTCTTATTCCTGTATGGTTAATGTGTCAGATGTCTGTCCTGTCTTATTCCTGTATGGTTAATGTGTCAGATGTCTGTCCTGTCTTATTCCTGTATGGTTGGTTAATGTATTAACTGTTGTCTCTGTCCCGTCTTGTATGGTTTGGAGAGTATCCTGTGTGGAAGGGTAATGTTGGGTCCATTGTGTTGATTCCAGTACAGAGTGGTGTGTGTGTATATAACTAACGTGTGATTTGTTGTCTGATTCTAGTATGGTTTGGAGCGTATCCTGGGAGAGGAGATGAGTCTCTCCCTGTTGGCCCGAGCTATGGATCCGACCCAGCCCGCCATGATGACTGACGTGGTCAAGCTGTTGTCAGCCATCTGCATTGTGGGCGAGGAGAACACGTAGGTCCCGCTCCCCGGCTTCACTCTGCCCTCACCATTACGTCCTCTAGCACTCTGTTCTCATCCACCTGTCCACCGCTCCTCCATCACCCATTTTATCTATCTATCTATCTATCTATCTATCTATCTATCTATCTATCTATCTATCTATCTATCTATCTATCTATCTATCTATCTATCTATCTATCTATCTATCTATCTGTCTGTCTGTCTGTCTGTCTGTCTGTCTGTCTGTCTGTCTGTCTGTCTGTCTGTCTGTCTGTCTGTCTGTCTGTCTATCTATCCTCTCACTTTCTCTCTGTCCCTCTCACGCTCCTCTCCTCCCTCAACTCTACACATCACTCCTCTGTTCTCCTCCATCTCTCTTCTCTCTCTCTCACTCATCTTCCTCGTCTTGATGGTACACAGGGGGGGAGAACTAGCTAAATGGGAAAACTCATCCACAGCATCCGAGCAGTGAGTTCATGATCATTGATCTGCCAAACTAAAGTCTGACTGCAGTATCGTTGAACTGGGAAGAGGCTGAGGGTCTGTGGTTATTGATCTGCGTAACTAAAGTCTGACTGCAGTAACGTTGAACTGGGAAGAGGCTGAGGATCTGTGGTTATTGATCTGCTAAACTAAAGTCTGACAGCAGTAACGTTGAACTGGGAAGAGGCTGAGGGGGTCTGTGGTTATTGATCTGCGTAACTAAAGTCTGACTGCAGTAACGTTGAACTGGGAAGAGGCTGAGGATCTGTGGTTATTGATCTGCTAAACTAAAGTCTGACTGTAGTAACGTTGAACTGGGAAGAGGCTGAGGGGTCTGTGGTTATTGATCTGCTAAACTAAAGTCTGACTGCAGTAACGTTGAACTGGGAAGAGGCTGAGGGTCTGTGGTTATTGATCTGTTAAACTAAAGTCTGACTGTAGTAACGTTGAACTGGGAAGAGGCTGAGGGTCTGTGGTTATTGATCTGCTAAACTAAAGTCTGACTGTAGTAACGTTGAACTGGGAAGAGGCTGAGGATCTGTGGTTATTGATCTGCTAAACTAAAGTCTGACTGTAGTAACGTTGAACTGGGAAGAGGCTGAGAGGGTCTGTGGTTATTGATCTGCTAAACTAAAGTCTGACTGCAGTAACGTGAACTGGGAAGAGGCTGAGAGGGTCTTGTGTTTATTGATCTGCTAAACTAAAGTCTGACTGTAGTACGTTGAACTGGGAAGAGGCTGAGGATCTGTTGGTTATTGATCTGCTAAACTAAAGTCTGACTGCAGTAACGTTGAACTGGGAAGAGGCTGAGGGTCTGTGGTATTGATGATCTGCTAAACTAAAGTCTGACTGTAGTAACGTTGAACTGGGAAGAGGGCTGAGGGTCTGTGGTTATTGATCTGCTAAACTAAAGGTCTGACTGCAGTAACGTTTGAACTGGGAAGAGGCTGAGGGTCTGTGGTTATTGATCTGCTAAACTAAAGTCTGACTGCAGTAACGTTGAACTGGGAAGAGGCTGAGAGGGTCTGTGGTTATTGATCTGCTAAACTAAAGTCTGACTGCAGTAAAGTTGAACTGGGAAGAGGCTGAGAGGGTCTGTGGTTATTGATCTGCTAAACTCAATCTGACTGCAGTAACAGTTGAAACTGGGAAGAGCTGAGGATCTTGGTTATTGATCTGCTAAACTAAGTCCCGACTGCAGTAACGTTGAACTGGAAGAGGCTAGGTGTGGTTATTGATCTGCTAAATAAGTCTGACTGCAGTAAAGTTGAACTGGGAACGAGGCTGAGAGGGTCTGTGGTTATTGATTTGTAAACTAAAGTCTGACTGCAGTAAAGTTTTGAACTGGGAAGAGGCTGAGGATCTGTGGTATGAAACTGTAAACTAAAGTCTGACTGCATAACGAATGAATGGAGAGGCTGGGGTCTGTTTATTGATTGCCAAACTAAAGTGACTGCAGTAACGTGAACTGGGAAGAGGCTGAGGGTCTGTGGTTATTGATCTGCTAAACTAAAGTTGACGGTAACGTGAACTGGGAAGAGGCTGAGGTTGTGGTTATGATCTGCTAAACTAAAATCTGACTGCAAGTAACGTTGAACTGGGAAGAGGCTTTAGGATCTGTGGTTATTGATCTGCTAAACTAAAGTCTGACTGCAGTTAACGTGAACTGGGAAGAGGCTGAGGGTCTGTGGTTATTGATCTGCTAAACTAAAGTCTGACTGCAGTAACGTTGAACTGGGAAGAGGCTGAGGGTCTGTGGTTATTGATCTGCTAAACTAAAGTCTGACTGCAGTAACGTTGAACTGGGAAGAGGCTGAGGGTCTGTGGTTATTGATCCTTATCGTCCGTTGTTTAGCTGGAGTGTGACAGGCATTAAGATCAGGTCACTCCTCCCACACCATTTAAGATTCAATACACCGTTGTCTTCAGCTCTGAGGCTGCGCCCCAAACGGCACCCTATTCCCTACATAGTGCACTACTTTTGACCAGAGCCCCTATGTGAGTAGTAGTGCACTATGTAGGGAATAGGGTATCATTTGGGACACAGCCTGTGGCTGCTGCTGTTGTTTTGTTAAAATGCTCTCCCTCTCTTCCTCTTGAATAACACTTTTCAGGGAAAACGTAATAACCAATCATCATCATACAAATACTGTGGTGCTCCTCTTGTTCATTCGTTTTCCAAGAGGAGCACCACCACCGAGGTCTAGCAGCACACAGGAGGCACGACTAAACGTTGAATGAATCACTGACGAAAGAAAGCACGGACAACAACAACAGAAAGAAAGACAGTTGGCAGAGAGCGAGAGACGTAGAAAGAGAGAAAAATCCCCAAGACGAATGCGTTGCAATCATTTTGGCCATTTGTGTGGCCGGTCATGCGTTTGTATTTTCCCCCCATTTAGTTTGGAGAAGGTCCTTGACGCCATCACCACGGCAGGAGAGCACAGGGCCACAGAGAGGTTCAGTCCTATCGTAGAAGGACTCAGAGATCGCTCCGTCCAATTACAAGTAAGTGCAAAAGGGTCCTTACTCGCTGCTAGAACCAGGGTCCCAAATGGCAGCCTATTCCCTATGTAGTGCACTACTTTTAACCAGAGCCTTATAGTGAATATGGGGGCCATTTGGGAGGCTGCTAGAATCAGCCACTCAGCTTTGTTGTTTTCAAAGCCAGAAAATAAAATATATGAGGTGGGAAACAATATGAAATGATCACATGACTTATTTTTATTCACAGAATGTATTCTTAATGTTGTGTATTCTGTACAGATTCACCTTGTCCTACAGTACTATCTCTCTCTCTCTCTCTCTCTTTCTCCTGCACACACACACCTACACACTTCACTCCATAAGAAACTAAACAAACGAAACCTTAAAAAAAAGGCAATAAATAAATAAACAACTCCGTAAAACAACTAGGAAAACATTTGAACTTCTCACAAGGTAAGGTTGATCCTCCAGGGTGAAAATCAGCAAACTTATCTGACATAATTCTTCACACCACCTGAGTAGAGCAGTAGGTTTAAAAGCCGTTAATTAGCGTGTTGGGATGGAGAGATGACAGGTGGAGAGGAGACTGAGGGATGGAGAGATGACAGGGGAGAGGAGACTGAGGGATGGAGAGATGACAGGAGGAGACGAGGCTGAGGGATGGAGAGATGACAGGAGGAGAGGAGACTGAGGGATGGAGAGATGACAGGAGGAGAGGAGGCTGAGGGATGGAGAGATGACAGGAGGAGAGGAGACTGAGGGATGGAGAGATGACAGGAGGAGAGGAGGCTGAGGGATGGAGAGATGACAGGAGGAGAGGAGGCGAGGGATGGAGAGATGACAGGAGGAGAGGAGAGAGGGAGGAAGAGTGACAGGAGGAAGAGGAGGAGGTGAGGGATGGAGAGATGGCCCAGGAGGAGAGGAGACTGAGGGATGGAGAGATGCAGAGGAGAGGCGATGAGGGATGGAAGAGGAGATGAAGGAGGAGAGGAGGCTGAGGGATGGAGAGAGGACAGGAGGAGAGGGGACAGGGCTGGAGAGATGGACAGGAGGAGAGGGAGGACGAGGAATGGAGAGGAGACAGGAGGGGAGGAGAATGGAGGGAGGGAGAGATTGAGAGTGAGATGAGGATGGAGAGATGAGAGGGAGAATGAGGGATGAGAGAGAGAAAGGAGGAGAGAGAGAGATGAGGGATGGAGAGATGAAAGGAGGAGAGGAGGGAATGATAGGAATGGAGAGATGACAAGAGTAGAGGATCAGTGATGATAAACGTTATCTCTCTGACTGTCTGGGGTTAGGACGGGAAAGGATCAGGATAGTCTTAGTTTTCTGGGTGGACTTGGGAAGGTCAGGCTAGTCTTACTGTTGGGTAGGACTTGGGAAGGTCAGGCTAGTCTTACTGTCTTGGGTAGGACTTGGGAAGGTCAGGCTAGTCTTACTGTCTGGGGTAGGGCTTGGGAAGGTCAGGCTAGTCTTACTGTCTTGGGTAGGGCTTGGGAAGGTCAGGCTAGTCTTACTGTCTGGGGTAGGGCTTGGGAAGGTCAGGCTAGTCTTACTGTCTGGGTTACAGCTTGGGAAGGTCAGGCTAGTCTTACTGTCTGGGTTACAGCTTGGGAAGGTCAGGCTAGTCTTACTGTCTGGGGTAGGGCTTGGGAAGATCAGGCTAGTCTTACTGTCTGTGTTACAGCTTGGGAAGGTCAGGCTAGTCTTACTGTCTGGGGTAGGGCTTGGGAAGGTCAGGCTAGTCTTACTGTCTGGGGTAGGGCTTGGGAAGATCAGGCTAGTCTTACTGTCTGTGTTACAGCTTGGGAAGGTCAGGCTAGTCTTACTGTCTGGGGTAGGGCTTGGGAAGGTCAGGCTAGTCTTACTGTCTGGGGTAGGACTTGGGAAGGTCAGGGCAGGGATTAGTGTGATCAGTGTTTTCAACCCCCTCAGTCCCCTGTCTATCATCTAACCTCTGACCTCTCCCCTGCTCCGCTCTGATCTGCTGTGCTGTGTGGCTTGCAGCTGGCTGTCTGTCAGATGGACTGTGTAAGCTACACTGCAGTCAATAGAATGGGCCTGGGAAAGACTGGCTGGCTGTGGAGGCTTTTCATTACTTTTTATTTTACATCTCTACATTATTTCTTATTATTCAACTTTCTCTGCTTATTTCACCTCTCTTTGTCCTCCCTCCCTCCATCTCATCTCTACTCCCCCTCTCTCTCTCTCTTCCCCTCTCTTCTCTCTCTGTCTCTCTTCTCTCTGTCTGTCTCTCTCTTTCCCTCTCTCTCCTCCCATCTCTAATACCATATTCAGTAATCAGAATAGCGTCTCGTAACATCAGCGTTAGCGGGAGGAGGGTTAGTTGTAACCGTAGTAACTATATGCCCCACCTCTTTCACAACATGATAAAAGCAGATAGCCTGAAAACAATAAAGGCCTTTTATGATCCAAGTTAACCTGAATGTGTCGTACAGTTCTGAGTGTTCACTCCTGTGTGGGTACTGTCACTCCTCTGGTAGCTAGCAGAGCAACCCAAATGGTACCCTATTCCCTATATAGTGCACTACTTTGAGCAGATCCCTGTATAGTGCACTAGATAGGGAGCAGGGTGGCAGTTGCTCCACAGCCCTGCATTACACAGCAATGGGATTCTCTGCTGTATATAGCAGCAGCATTATGACCTACTTGACACCTCCGTCTAAATGAGATGTTAGTGATGTCCCATACCTCTCTGGCCAACACACACACACACACACACACACACACACACACACACACACAAATCCAAGGCTCTTCCCCCCCCCCCCACAACACCTGGCCCCCAGTGGCCTTCTCCAAGCACCAGCCTGCACAGGGAATAGTGTTATCTTATGTGTGAGTGTGTGCAGACTGTGAGTGTTGTATGTCTGTGTATATACACACACACACCCCCGTTCCCGTTATGGCTCTCATTTCTGACTGCGTTTGTGTTTGCGTCTGCCTGTGTGATTGTTGCCAGAAGGCCATCCCAACCAGACAGCCTCCAGCGTGTGGAGAGGAGAGGAGAGAAGGCCTTGTCAAAAGGCAATCTTTTATTTCTCACAATGTGCTGGCCCCCATGTCAGGCCTGGAGCTAACTGGACAAATTCCTTCCTCTTCCATTTGGCCGTCAGCCTGCTGGGGAAATACACAAGAGAGGAGAGGAGGGAGAGAGGAGGGGGAGACGGAAGGGGAGAGGGGAGGGGAGGGTGGATGGGCTGGTCTAGTGTGGTCTGACAGGAGGGTGGATGGGCTGGTCTAGTGTGGTCTGACAGGAGGGTGGATGGGCTGGTCTAGTGTGGTCTGACAGGAGGGTGGATGGGCTGGTCTATGTGGTCTGACAGGAGGGTGGATGGCTGGTCTAGTGTGGTCTGACAGGAGGTGGATGGGCTGTGGTCTAGTGTGGTCTGACAGGAGGGTGGATGCTGGTTCTAGTGTGGTCTGACAGGAGGGTGGATGGGCTGGTCTAGTGTGGTCTGACAGGAGGGTGGATGGGCTGGTCTAGTGTGGTCTGACAGGAGGGTGGATGGGCTGGTCTAGTGTGGTCTGACAGGAGGGTGGATGGGCTGGTCTAGTGTGGTCTGACAGGAGGGTGGATGGGCTGGTCTAGTGTGTCTGACAGGAGGTGGATGGGCTGGTCTAGTGTGGTCTGACAGGAGGGTGGATGGGCTGGTCTAGTGTGGTCTGACAGGAGGGTGGATGGGCTGGTCTAGTGTGGTCTGACAGGAGGGTGGATGGGCTGGTCTAGTGTGGTCTGACAGGAGGGTGGAGGGCTGGTCTAGTGTGGTCTGACAGGAGGGTGGATGGGCTGGTCTAGTGTGGGTCTGACAGGAGGGTGGATGGGCTGGTCTAGTGTGGTCGACAGGAGGTGGATGGGCTGTCTAGTGTGGTCTGACAGGAGGGTGGATGGGCTGGTCTAGTGTGGTCTGACAGGAGGGTGGATGGGCTGGTCTAGTGTGGTCTGACAGGAGGGTGGATGGGTGGTCTAGTGTGGTCTGACAGGAGGGTGGATGGGCTGGTCTAGTGTGGTCTGACAGGAGGGTGGATGGGTGGTCTAGTGTGGTCTGACAGGAGGGTGGATGGGCTGGTCTATGTGGTCTGACAGGAGGGTGGATGGGCTGGTCTGGTGTGGTCTGACAGGAGGGGGATGGGCTGGTCTAGTGTGGTCTGACAGGAGGGTGGATGGGCTGGTCTGGTTGTGGTCTGACAGGAGGGTGGATGGGCTGGTCTAGTGTGGTCTGACAGGAGGGTGGATGGGCTGGTCTAGTGTGGTCTGACAGGAGGGTGGATGGGCTGGTCTAGTGTGGTCTGACAGGAGGGTGGATGGGCTGGTCTAGTGTGGTCTGACAGGAGGGTGGATGGGCTGGTCTAGTGTGGTCTGACAGGAGGGTGGATGGGCTGGTCTAGTGTGGGTCTGACAGGAGGGTGGATGGGCTGGTCTAGTGTGGTCTGACAGGAGGGTGGATGGGCTGGTCTAGTGTGGTCTGACAGGAGGGTGGATGGGCTGGTCTAGTGTGGTCTGACAGGAGGGTGGATGGGCTGGTCTAGTGTGGTCTGACAGGAGGGTGGATGGGCTGGTCTAGTGTGGTCTGACAGGAGGGGGATGGGCTGGTCTAGTGTGGTCTGACAGGAGGGTGGATGGGCTGGTCTAGTTGGTCTGACAGGAGGGTGGATGGGCTGGTCTAGTTGGTCTACAGGAGGTGGATGGCTGGTCTAGTGTGGCTGACAGGGTGGATGGGCTGGTTCTGTGTGTCTGACAGGAGGGTGGATGCGGCTGGTTCTAGTGTGGTCCCGACACACCCATCTGTTCTCTACTTAGTCTATCTAACCCCTATGTTTCTCATAGTCTCACTAACCCTATCTGTTCTCTACTTAGTCTCATCTAACCCCTATCTGTTCTCTACTTAGTCTCATAACCCCTATCTGTTCTCTACTAGTCTATCTAACCCCTATCTGTTCTCTACTTAGTCTCATCTAACCCT